TGCAGGGCCAAAAGGAATGGCTAGTTAGTATTCCTCTCCTTCCTCCTCACCCTCTCCTTCAACAGAATCCACACCAACCTCCTCATAATCCTTCTCCAGGGCAGCCATGTCCTCACGGGCCTCAGAAAACTCTCCTTCCTCCATCCCCTCACCCACGTACCAGTGAACAAAGGCACGCTTGGCATACATCAGATCAAACTTGTGGTCCAGGCGAGCCCAGGCCTCAGCAATGGCTGTGGTGTTGCTCAGCATGCACACAGCTCGCTGTACTTTGGCCAGGTCTCCACCAGGTACCACAGTGGGAGGCTGGTAATTGATGCCAACCTTGAAGCCAGTGGGACACCAATCCACAAACTGGATGCTGCGCTTTGTCTTGATGGTGGCAATGGCAGCATTGACATCTTTGGGAACCACATCACCACGGTACAACAGGCAGCAAGCCATGTATTTACCATGGCGAGGGTCACATTTCACCATCTGGTTGGCTGGCTCAAAGCAAGCATTAGTGATCTCTGCTACAGAAAGCTGTTCATGGTAGGCTTTCTCAGCAGAGATGACAGGGGCATATGTGGCTAGGGGGAAGTGGATGCGAGGGTAGGGCACCAGGTTGGTCTGGAATTCTGTCAGGTCAACATTCAGGGCTCCATCAAATCTGAGGGAAGCAGTGATGGAAGACACAATCTGGCTAATAAGGCGGTTAAGGTTGGTGTAGGTGGGGCGTTCAATGTCGAGGTTTCTACGACAGATGTCATAGATGGCCTCATTGTCTACCATGAAGGCACAATCAGAGTGCTCCAGGGTGGTGTGAGTGGTGAGGATGGAGTTGTAGGGCTCAACTACAGCTGTGGAAACCTGGGGGGCTGGGTAAATGGAGAACTCCAGCTTGGACTTCTTGCCATAATCAACGGACAGACGTTCCATCAGCAGGGAGGTGAACCCAGAGCCCGTTCCCCCACCAAAGCTGTGGAAAACCAGGAAGCCCTGAAGACCTGTGCACTGGTCAGCCTGCAAAAGAAAAGAGGAGATAAAGATAAAGATAAGTGTATGGTTTTGTGATACAGTCATAGTAAACATACTTTCACTTTTCATATATGTTCAAGGATTTAGATCTTATTTTGACAAATGCTTTTTAAAGAGTGTAGAGGGTTAGGGATGTAGTTCAGTGGTAAAGTGCTTGCATAACATTCACAAGGGCTTGAGTTCAATCCCCAGTACTGGGGGAAAAAAAAAAGGCACACCTTCTTGGAATACTTAGCATTTGATTTAAAATTCCTCAATATTAACAAAATGATACCAAATAGTTTACATTTTAGCTGAATTTGAAAAAAAAATTCATTCTCACTATTGCATTTCAATTCTTTGTTTGAAAAAAAGAGCAATATTTCAAATGTCTTTCTAATACTCATTATCTTTATTCTGAAGAATAATATACCAGCTTGCGAATTCGGTCCAAGACGAGGTCAATGATCTCCTTGCCAATGGTGTAGTGCCCACGGGCATAGTTATTGGCAGCATCTTCCTTGCCTGTGATGAGCTGCTCAGGGTGGAAGAGCTGGCGGTAGGTGCCTGTGCGAACTTCATCTGGAAAAGGAACAGAAAAAGAGTCAGCCATCACTAACAACCTGCCCCACCCTAAAGGACCAAGGAGCCCCCAGGACACATCACTTACCCAGCACCCTTGGGAAACCCCTTGGGTTACTGAGGTCAACTCACCAATGACCGTGGGTTCCAGATCTACAAACACTGCCCTGGGCACATGCTTGCCAGCGCCTGTCTCACTGAAGAAGGTGTTGAAGGAGTCATCTCCTCCCCCAATGGTCTTGTCACTTGGCATCTGGCCATCAGGCTGGATGCCATGTTCCAAGCAGTAGAGCTCCCAGCAGGCATTGCCAATCTGGACACCGGCCTGGCCAACGTGGATGGAGATGCACTCACGCTGTGGAAAGGGAAACAAATTCAGGACCCAAATTAATCTGAGTCACAAAAAAGCACTCACAGAACCTTAATCTTAACAAATTCCCAGTATAAAAAACAGTTTAAGGAGCTGGGATTAAAGCTCAAGGGTAGATCCCTTGTCCTTGGTTCAATCTTCAGCGCTAAAAAAACAAAAACCAAATCCATACAACAAAAAGGACAATTAAAAAGGTAACTTAAAATGGAGAATGGCTATTTTTTTTTCTCCCACCCCTAAAATCGAGAAGGCCTCTCTTTAGTCCTGTAAGAGTGCTTAGTCACAGCTTCCTCTGAAGACAAAGATAGGAAGGCCATTCATCCACCTACTGCTCAGGCCGCAGAACCCACACTAGACTGGGTGGTCAGATTTCCCGACAGCTCCTAGCACAGGAAGCGCGTGGCCAGAGCAGAGCAAATGTGGCTGCAGGGACAAGGGGCGGGGCTCTGCGACACTAGATGAATGGGCAATTATGGGATGAACGGTTGTTTGCCAGTGGCCTCCCCTGCTTTGGGCGGGGCCGCGCAGCTGCGGAAAACCGCAAAAGGCCACGTCTTCGGCGTTATGTCCATCCACCCTCCCTATCCGCAAGCACAGGCTCAGCCCAGCACCTCGACATCTGTCCAGGACCAGCAGGGAATTATCAGCCGCCCAGATCTAGCTGAAGGTCCGATTTCCTTTCCCTCAAAATCCTTCCCTGCCAACACCTGTTTCCACACGAATTCCTAACACAGCAGGGAGACAGGTGGCTTCTCCGGGCTGCCGAGGGCAGTCGTTCTAATGTACTGTGGTACAGTTTGCAATTGTCAAGAAAGGCCCCTTCTCCGCACTGATCGCTTTCACTAAAGGTAAAGCTCAGGTTAACGGGAGACACACCCTGCGGACAAAAGTCCGCAGAGCCTTATCGCGCCTGCGCCGACTGCAGTATCAATTTCCCGCCTCTCGAGCGCGGGAAGGTAACGGTTGCGCGTGCGCTTTTGTCTCGCGCTCCCTTTCCGCCCCCGCTTTTCGCGCCCAGGAGGAAGTGAGGGCGGGGAAAGTGTGCGCGCGCCCGCCCGCGGCTGAAGGGAGGATGGCGGGGGGAAGGGCGCGGGCGGGAAATATCCAGGGTCTTAGGGCGCGGCGCCTGGCTTCGTGCTGAGGGTTCGGATAGGTGGAGCCGAACAGCGCTCCATCTCTCTAAGACCACAAGAAACCCCGCAGCTCCCCCTTTACCCGGATCCCTGCTATTCTCCGCAAACCTGAACCTCCCCTACTCCCTCCGTCCTTTTGCTTTCCCAAAGGATAGTGTTGGTCCCTTCCCTTATCAAGAGGTGCCCCCGCGCCTGTCTGGTTCGTTCTTCCCCGTTTTCCCAAACGCGGCCGGGTGCTGCGCGCTACCCACTCACCATGATGGCTACGGATTAGGAGGCGAGGACGACAGGAACAGACGCTAAGTCCCGGTTACCGTCCCCGACAAGCTAAGAGTCGAGGTAAGTAACGCACTGGGGCGGAGGCGACGCGGGAGCCTCTTAAGTAGCGGCTGGGAAGGGGCGGGCTGTCCGGGCGGCGCGGTGGCTTCGGGTCCCTCCCCCGGCCCGGCCCGGCCATTCCGCGCCCTGCCTGGCCGCCGCAGAGGCGGGCGCGGCGCCCGGAGCCCCCTCCCTCGCCGGCCTGCGGGCCGCGCGCACTGCTGCAGACTGCGGCCCAAGGGGCGCGCGCCGCATGGTCGCCCAGGACCGGCGGATGTGGGGTGGGACGGGAAACGCGTCTCAAGGTGGACGAACCCCAGCACTCGAGAGGTCCCTGCAGTTCGAAAGATGACGCACCTTAAAGCGCTGAAACCTTTGGTCCCGGTAGCGCAGCTGAGTATTTTCATGTTGCACACTTTGTGAGTTTTTTGCCTTTTCCTTTTCCCACTCCCCTTAAAGGCAGTTCATTCTGAAAGGTGGAGGGTGCGAGCTTCAGAAAACCGAATAAATGACTTGTTCTCGAAACTCCAAGGTACTGGGTTCTGGAAGCAGCTAGTATTTCAATCAGTCGAACAGCAGTACCTAAGCAGTGAACGTTGAGGCTATTAAAAGAACAGAGTAGTCCCCATCTTTAACCCCAAGCCACCAGTTTTATGGAACAGCTCTTAGTTAGGGGCTTTCAAAAAAAAAAAAAAAAGATTTAAGAACATGTTTCAAATAGTAGCTGAGTTGAAAAGAGAAATTTGAGCAAGGAGGAAGTACATTGTTTCACATTGAAGGATCTTAGGAAGTAGGGATTCTTTGTACCACCTAGAGTTTTCTCAAAAAGGCTGACATTGTGTCAAGGTAGATAGATCAGTTGGTTACAGTTTAGTGCTAGGATGATCAGATTATAGTGAACAGACTGACCCTTTCCCACGCCCCCCAGAAAATCTGTTCTAGGACTATAAACTACACTGTTGACCTTGGAAGTGCATGGGTGCTTAGGGCCAAAGTTTAAAATTCCCCTAGCAGAAATCTACTGCTGTTACTAAACTGTGGAAATGACTTCCCAGTGATAGTGTAAGAGTAACAAAAAGGTAAATATAAGACAGAACTCATGTTTGCTTGTTGCTTTACTCAGACTTAGCAAAGCCTTTATGCATTGTTTCAGACACAGAGCAAATTACATTGTTAATATACGTGTGCATTTTGTAAAGGGGTGTGTGTGTGTGTGTGTGTGTGTGTGTGTGTGTGTGTTAGCTAGCTATCTGGCACAAAACCAAGGAGGTTTTTATTTACTTTTGAGTATTTTTTGCAGTCCTGTTAAAAGGTTTTTGAGTCAAAATCCAAATGTTTGTTCACATTTTCCAAACTGGGTGGGAGGGGCAGGATCATATTTGAATATTTTTCTTTCTTATTCTTTTTTTCCCCTTTATTACTCTTAAAAGTAGATTGATAATACTTAGTTTGCCTTACCTGGAAGAAGGAATGTTAGGGAACCACCCTGCTGAACTCCATTTTGCTGTCTGCTCTGCATGAAAGCCATTTGAACGCAGGCACCTCCCTCCTCCTGGCTCTGCAGAATATCAGCTTTCACTGCAGGCATTTGTTCCTGTGGGGGGCCTATATGTCTCCCCAGATACCTTCCTAAAACCATTAGCTTTGCTAGTCTTGTTATCTGTGTATTTTCCTGTTGTGAATGAGGAAGTATGTATATAGAGAGATTTAGGTCCCTGATGATACATCAGATTTTGTAGAGTAGTAGAACTAAAGGAAACCTTGAAATATAATCTACTCTGGAATCTTTATGCCAGAAAAATATTCAATAATGATAGTTTATTTTGCTTTCTCTTTAGTGCCTGAAAGGATGAGTTGACTTTTTTTTCTTCTTTACTCATATTAAAACCTACACGGGTCTTTGCTTATAATCATCTTATGTTTAAATCAAATAGTAGTTATCTAGATAAGATAAACACAGTATTATCCAATGATGTAACATTTTAATCAATTACTTACTCTTTCTTTTGCTGGATTCTTTCAGTGCCTGTAAATATTTGCTTTGAGTCTTTGGTGCAGTGGGGAAGCCCAGTGTTGGAATTTGAGTCACTCCCATCTTTGCTACATAATATGGCCATTTGCTACTGTTCTAATTGTAAGTAACTGCTTTTGATAGTTATATATTGTGGTTTTAGACACAAAAGTTCATAAAATATTTTGTTCATTTCATCAGCTCTACATGGAAAGACCAAAAAAAAAAAAGCATCAACTATTTATAAATATTTAGACTTTATTCTTATTTATCCCAGTGTTATAATTTATACATGCCATTTCATATTCTTTTTCCACAAATGATATAGGGGAAAGAAAATTGGCCTCGGTGGCAAATAGCACTAGATTTAATTCAAACTTAGTTAATAATGATATGACTCTAGATTCTTAATTAACTTTTTTGAATTTCATTTATGAATGAATCATTAACTTAAAATCATCATCTTTTCTGCATACATTCTATCCCATTAAAAAATTTTGTTAGTTTTATCTTCAAACTATGCCCATTGCTTTTTTTTTCGGAGGTTGAGGGGGTACTAGGGTTTGAACTCAGGGCCTACACCTTGAGCCACTCCACCAGCCCTTTTTTGTGAAGGGTTTTTTCAAGAGAGGGTCTTACAAACGATTTGCCTGGGCTGTCTTCAAACTGCAATCCTCCTGATCTCTGCTTCCTGAATAGCTAGAATTACAGGCCAGGCATGAGCCACCAACGCCTGGCTCCCATTGCTTTTTAAGCACCCTGTTTTTTCACAGCTTTATAGAATCTGAAAGTACCTCATTTGTATATTTATTTACTTTTTTTTTTGGCAATACTGAGGTTTGAACTCAGGGCCTCACAGTTACTAGGCAGGCATTATATCATTTGAGCCACTTCACCAGCCCACCTTTTGTGATTTTAATTGCAGATTTTATAATTCCATTTTTTCTCCTTAGCTTGCTTTCCTTCCTTCCTTTTCTTTTCTTTTCTTTTTTTTTTTTTTTTTGAGACACAGTTTCACTATGTAGTCCTGACTGCCCTGAACTCATGATCCTCCTGCCTCAACCTCTTGAGTGCTACATTTAGGCCTGTACCACCACACACAGCTATTTTTTTTGAGACGGTCTCAATTTGCAGGCCAGACTGGCTTAGAACTATGTAGCCCGGGCCAGACTTGAACTTCTAAATCCTCCAGCCTTAGCCTCCTAAGGCTTGTATTTTAGGCATGTACCACCATGCCTGGCTTCCATAGCATTTTTTAGTGGTCTTCCCAGAGTTTGCAATATACATTTACAAAGAGTTCAAGACCACCTTCAAAAAAACAGTATACTAATATTTACCTGGCAGGGGAGATACCATGATCACCAAGATGGTTTTCCCAGGGTAAGGCTTATCCATTACACTCCAGATGTGCTGACCCCTGCAATTTCCCTAAATGTGGGAAACTTGACTGCATAATTTGTGGTAGTTGGAGATTGCAATGGCACTCTCCCCTGTAAAAAAACAAAACAAAACAGTATACTTGGAACACCTGTTTAGCAAATGCAAAGCCCTGAATGCAAGGCCCAATAGGTGCAAAAAGATCCAAACAAACCACCATCCATATTACACTGCCTTATGGGTAGTGCAAGTGTCTTATAATAACAAAATAAACTTAATTCCTACCCCTTGTCCTTTATGTCATTGCTGTTATTCATTTATTTATACATAATCACACTGTGTTAGTCAGCTTTCTGTAATTGTGATAAAAACCTGAGATAATCAACTTAAGGAAAAGGAGAGATTGCTGGGTATCAGTGGCTCATGCCTGTAATCCCAGCTACTTAGGAGGCAGAGATCGGGAGGATTGCAGTTCAAACTCTGCCTGAGCAAATAGTTAATGAGACCTTATTTCAAAAAAACCCATCACAATAAAAAAGGGCTGGTGGAGTGGCTGAAGGTGTAGGCCTTGAATTCAAACCCCATTACCACAAAAAAAAAAAAAAAAAAAAAAAAGGAAAAATTTGTTTTGACTCTTGATTTCAGATGTTGTAGCCCATGATTGCTTAGGTCCCATCACTTTGTGCCTGAGGCAGAACATCATATCAGGGAGTGCATGATGAAACAAAGCTGCTGACATCATGGCAGCTCAGGTGCAGAGACAGAAAGAGAGGAAGGGTCCTGGGTCGCGTTATCTCACTCAAGGGTAGCCCTCCCACCCCCCCAGCGACCTAGCTTCCACTAGGCCCCACCTCCTAAATGTTCTACCCCTTCTAATAGCACTATCAGCTGGGGACCAAGACTTTAATACATGAGCCTTTGGGAGACACTTCAGGTCCAGACTATAACATATGCATAATCCAATACAGTGTTGCAGTTATTATTTAGAAGTATAACTGTTAGGTCAATTAAGAATAAAGATAGGCTGAGGATGTTAGCTTAGTGGTAGAGCACTTGCCTGGCACGTGAAAGGGCCTCGGTTCAATCCCAACAAGGGAGGATGCGGAGGTGGGGCTGAGACAGCTGAGACATGGCTCAAGTGGTAAGCACTTGCTTAGCAAGCTTGAGGCCTGAGTTCAACCCCGACTACCACAAAAAAAAAAAAAAAAGAGCGAGACAGGGCCAGGCACAGTGGCTTAAGCCTATGATCCTAGTTTGGGAAGGTGAGATCAGGAGGATCATGGTTCAAGGCTAGCCCTGGCAAAAAGGTTGAGAGACTTCATCTCAACTAATGGTTGGGTATGGTGGTTTACACATGTCATGTCCAGAGTGCTGAGAAGCATGAATAAGAGCGTCATGGTCTAGGCAGGCCCAGGCGTAAAATGAAATCCTGTCTTGGGGTTAAGGTAAAGAGAAAATGAGGGTAATATAACTAATGTACAGTATAAGCCTAATTGGAATTGTCACTATGAGTCCCCCTGTACAATGAATATATTCTAATACAAAATGTTTTAAAAATGAGATCCTATCTCAAAAATACCCAAACACAAAAAGAACTAGTGGCATGGTTCAAATGGTAGCACACCTGCTTAGCAAGTTTAAAGCCCTGAGTTCAACACTAGTACCAAAAAAAAAAAAAACAAAAGAAGACAACTGTAAGTTTTAATTTACCTCCACTTACTCCTATGATGCTTTTCCTTTCTTCATGTATATCATAGCTCTCACCTTATTGGGTGCTGAACAGGACCTCATGCTTGCTAGGTACACGCTCTACCACTTGAGCCATGCGTCCTCCTTTTTTTAATTTGTTTTTCAGATAGAAGCTCATACTTTTGCTCAGGGCTAGGCATGACACAGATCCTCCTATCTCTGCTTTCGAAGTAGCTGGGGTTACAGGTATGCGCCACCACACATGGCCAATTTCTTTTAAAGTAGGTTTACTGGTGATGAATTCCTCCGATTTTTATTTAAGAAAGTCTTGGGTGGGGGGGGAGGTGACTCAAACAGTATATACAAATGTGAATAAATGTAAAAATGATTTTTAAAAAAGTCTTAAAAGTCTTAGAAAATCTTTCTCCCTCACTTCTTTGACCTTACCTCTCTTACAGATCTAAAAAGAGTTTTGATTTTTCTGTTTGTTCAGCTTTTTACTTATTGTTAGGATAGAGTGATGACTTCCAAGATTATTATATCCTGAACTTTAAAAGCAATGTCAAGAAGGTCAGAGCAGAATGAGGGGAAGAGTGTTAACAAAATGAGATCAGGAAGGTAACCAGTTTCTAGATCAAGTAATCAAGTGATTGTCTTATTAGCTGTAGAAAGACCATTTTTTAAAAATGATTGGAAGCATTAATTTTGAGCAAAAGTGTGACATGTTCTACTGTAAATTTTAAAGGGATTTCTCTGACCTTTGTGACAGTAAACCATAGGAAGTTAGGGGTAGAAGAAGGAAGCTGGGCCTGGGCCTTGTGTTGCTGGCCTATTTCCACAATATGGGGGATATAAAGGCAGGAGGATCTTGAGTTTGAGGCCAGCCTGATCTACATAGCAAAATCCTATTAAAAAAAAAAAAAAAGCCAGGCATAGGGGCTTATACCTGTAATCCCAGCTACTCAGGAGGCAGAGATCAGAGGATTGCAGTTTGAAGCCTGCTCAGGCAAATAGTTCCTGAGACCCTACCTTGAAAAAACCCATCACTAAAAAGGGCTCAAAGTGTAGGCCCTGAGTTCAAACCCCAGTACCGCAAAACAAACAAGAGCTGGAGGCATAACTCAAAGTGGTAAGAACTTGCCTAGCAAGTATGAGGCCCTATGTTCAAGTCAATTGACATTACCCTGAAGGAAGGGAGGGAAGGAGGAAGATTAGGAAGAGTATCCAGTAGTGAAAAGGAACAGCCTGTGGTGTTACTAAAAATAATAACAATAATACTAATAATGAGTGTGGTGTTCTGGAAACAAAATCAAGAGTGTTTCAAGCAAGGGCTGGTGATAGCTATGCCTTCTGGAAGGCTGAGATGGGGTCTGAGAACTGGCTATTAGATTTGGCATTGTGGAGTCACTGGTGATCTGGGGGTCAGTAGCTTCAGTAGAGCAGTAGGGATGGATGAAAGCCTGACTGGAGTGCTTTCATGAGAGACGCACCTTTCCAAGGTCAGCCTTGGAAAGAAGCATAACCCACTGACTCCTGGAAGGGAGTCATCTGCTGACCCTCAGAAGAAGCCAGAGTATGACTGTATCTTTAGGTTAACAGATTTGCTGATGAAATTTGAGATTTCTCTTGATTACTTTGTCTCCCCTGCTCCATTAAAGTAAAAAAAAAAATTAGGTAATTATTCTTCATTCTTTTCCTCTGCTTTAATAATAGAACTGTGGTTTTATTAGGAGTAGGATGCTCAGCTTCTGTTCCAATGGACATTCATGTGACTACGTTCTGGTAAGTTCTTAGTTACACGTTTGGTAGTGCTTATCAGAAAGTTTCTAAAACACGATTGACTGATCTGGCATATACTTTTGCCTTTTTTCTTTTTCTTACCTAGAATGTGGAGGGGATGGCTGGACTTCTAGCAACTATCTATGACAATAAAGTGACTTTACTCTATTTGCTAAAAATGGAAGAAGATAAAATCTAGGTCCCAGATGACATCAGAGAGATGCCACACAACCCCTGGATTGCCTACCTCTGGATTTCTCATAATGGGGGAAAATAAAACAATTAGTTTAGTCACATTAGTTGTGTGTGTGTGTGTGTGTGTGTATGTGTGTGTAGTGGGGGGTATCTCTTATTTACAGCTGATTGAAATTCATTTGATGTGGGACCTTATAGGTTGTTTTCTTATTATTTGTTTTCTTTTTCCACTTAGTGAAATGGGGAGGGGGATGTCATTAGATAAATTTAAGGATTGGATAGGGAGTGTGGGAAATTGGAGGAGAGAAAGTATGTGCAATAGTCTATGATTGGGAGAGTGAATTAATTAGGGACATGTAGTAGAATTTCTAGATATTGCTGAAGGCATAGTAGATCTTTTAGATATTTGTGGTTGTAAATATAAAATGAGATCGGTTGTGGTTATGTTTTTGTCTAGTCAGGTTCAGTACTCAGATAAAAAGTATGAAATATCAAACCTCAGTACTGCCAAAGAAAGAGAATTGAATTTAACCAAGATTGATTTTTTTTTTTCTTTTGTGGTGGTACTGGGGATTGAACTCAGGTCTTGCACTTGCTAGACGAGTGCTGTACCACTTGAGCCATGCCAGCAGTCCCAAGATTGGTCTTTTGTTAAAGCTAGTAGGCCACTTTGTGAAATTGAATACAAGGTAGCGTAGAGTCACTGAGAAGACAATTGAATAGCTGAATGTATTTATACTATTATGTAATTAATAAAAATAATAAACTTGAAAGCAAAACTTAAACCATTTTCTCCGGTGCTGAGAGTCAAACCCAGGGCCTTGCGCTTGCTAAGCATGTGCTGCTCTGCCACTGACGTACACCACAAGCCCACATGTAGATTTCAAAAAGATAAAAAATTCACCAGAGGCAAAAGATACATATTGGGAAGTTTTACCTTCCCTAATGCTTACTTATCACATTCCTCCCTATTACCCTTATAAATAAGCTTTATTTTAGTGAATTCTTTCAGAGTTTTTTTTTTTTTTTATGAAAGTATAAACAAATACTAATTGGTCAGTCTATTATTTTATCCTTTTGTAATACACAAAAGGTAGCAAGTTATAATGCGTGCTGTCCTGTATCTTGCTGTATCTTACTTTTTTCACTTTTTTTTTTTCACTTATTTGTATATTGTAGATATCTTCCCATATTACCAATGCCAGGCTGCATTAGTTTTTTTGGGGGGATAGGATCTTACTTTATGCCCTTGACTTCTCTGGACCATGATCCTCCTAATTTGTGCTTTCCTACCTAGCTGGCTAGACTGGCTCTGGCCATCAGGCCAGCCACTGGGTGAGATGGCCTCCCACAAACTTTTTGCTCTGGCTGGCCTCAAAACTGCATTCCTGGTTAAGGAAGGAAAACGTCAAGTTCAAGGCCAGCCTGGGCTACGTAGCCAAGACCCTATCTCAAACAAGACAAAACAAAACAATTAAAACAAACAGCCAGGTGCTGGTGGCTCATGTCTGTAATTCTAGGTACTCAGCAGGCAGAGTTCAGAAGATGGAGGTTCAAAGCCAACCGGGCAAACAGTTGGAGAGACCCTATTTTGAAAAAATCCAACACAAAAAAGGGCTGGCAAAGTGGCTCAAATGGCAGAGTGAATGCTTAGCAAGTGTGAGGCCTTGAGTTCAAACCCTAGTTTTTTTTTGGTGGTACTAGGGTTTGAACTCAGGGCCTTCACCTTGAACCACTTCACCAGCCCTGTTTTTGTGAAGGGTTTTTCAAGATAGTGTCTCACAAACTATTTGGCTGGGCTGGCTTCAAACCTTGATCATCCTGATTTCCGCCTCCTGGGTAGCTAGGATTACAGACCTGAGCCACTGGCACCCAGCTCAACCACTTTTTAAGCATACATTTCAGTAGGGTTAAGTACATTCACATTGTTATGCAGCAAATTTCCAAAATTCTTTCCAATTTGCAAAAATTACCTATTGGGCTAGAGGTATGGCTCAAGTGTTAGAGTGCTTGCCTGGCAAATGCAAGGCCCTGAGTTCAAACCCTAGTGCCACCAAAAAACAAAAACAAAAATACCTATTAAACAACTCTCCACCCCTCTCTCCACATCCCTGGCAATCACTATTATATTTTCTCAATGAATTTGAGTATTCTTAGAACTCCCTGTAAGTAGAATCATATAGTATTTGTCTTTTTTGAAGCAAGCTTATTTTTCTTAGCATAATGTCCTCAAAGTTAACTCATGTTGCAGCATATATCAAAATGTACTTCCTTTTAAAGAATGAATACACTTCCATCGTAGGGGGTAACTCAGGGGGTAGAGTGCTTGCTTATTATGTGTAAGGCCCTGGGTTCAATTCCCAGCCCATTCACATATTCAGTCACATGTGAGTAGCTTCCACCTTCTGGTTATTAATTATACTGCTATGAATATGGGTGTGCAAATATTTTAGACCCTCCTTTCAGTTTTGGGGGGGGTTATACCTAGTAGTGAAATTGCTGAATAATTCGGTAGTTCTATTTTTAAGATTTTGAGGCACCATCATTGTTTTCCAAAGAAGATACATAATCTTTTTCAAGACAGGGTCTCACTATGTAGCTCAGGCTAACCTTTCTGCTGTGATTACAAGCATGTGTTGGCATGCCTGGCTATTTCTTTTTAGTAGAAGCCATTTTGAGGAGATGAGGTGATACCTCATTGTAGTTTTGATTTAAATTTCCCTATGCGGTTGAGCATCTTTTCATCTGCTTATTAGTCATTTGAGTATCTTTTTTATTTTTTTTTGACAGTACTGGGGTTTGAATTTAGGGCCTCACAATTGCTAGGCAGGCATTCTACACTTGAGCCACACCCCCAGCTGTTTGCCTTTAGTTATGTTTCTGCTAGAAAAATAATTTTTCTGCTAGAAAAATCAAAATTGGGCTGGTGGAGTGGCTCAATTGATAAGAGTGCTAGCCTAGTCCGCATGAGGCCCTGAGTTCAAACCCCAGTACCACAAAAAAAGAAAAAAAAGAAAAATCAAAATTAACAACAGATACACGATCAGAAGAATTTTGGGATAATCAAAATATTTTTAAAACCTGACTGTAGGGGTGGTGGAGTGGCTTAAGTGGTAGAGCCGCCTGCGTAGCAAGTGTGAGGCTGACTATAAAGATGTATTTTATTCTGAGACCATCATATGTCTTATAATTCTCTTGTATGTATTATTTCCTTCATATGAAAAAGCAGAGTCATAATAGTAGCCCTGGTGCTCATCTTACCATTTTTCCTCTTTTTGTTTTTTTATCTTGGTGGCACTGGGATTTGAACAGGGCCCCATGCTTGCTAGGAAGGCACTCATCACTTGAGCCACTCTGCCAGCCTCATTTTTCCTATCTTTAATTGGAATGTAGCTTTTGGTCTTGAGACATTTTAAAAAAATTTTTTCTTAATATATTCAAAGTATATAGGACATCTGTATTATGATTTATACTAGAATGGATGTTGAATTGTATTAAACATTTTCAGCAATATTTAGAGATTAACGTTTGATTTTTCTCCTTGAATATATATATATATTGAATATATATATATATATATATTGAATATATATATATATATATATTTTTTTTTTTGTGGTACTGGGGCTTGAACTCAGGGCCTTCACCTTGAGCCACTCATCAGCCCTATTTTTTGTGAAGGGTTCTTCAAGATAGAGTCTCATGAACTATTTGCCCAGGCTGACTTTGAACTGTGATCCTCCTGATCTCTGCCTTCTGAGCAGCTAGGATTACAGGCCTGAGCCACTAGCGCTCAGCCCATGATGAATATTTTGAAAGAGTTCCTAATGCTGAATCATCATTACATATCTTTTTTCTTTCTTTTTTTTTTTCTTTTGGTGATTTGAGCTCAGGATGTCACACTACACCTGAGCAAAACTTCCAGTACATTTTGCTCTGGTTATTTTGGAAATAAGGTCTCATGAAGAACTTGTCCAGGCTGGCTTTGAACTGTAGTCCTCCCAGTCTCAGCCTCCCAAGTAGGTAGAATTACAGATGTGAGCTACCAGCACCCAGCTATCATTGCATATCCAGTATAAAAAATTTGGTTATAGTGATTATTCTTCCAGTGTACTGCTAAATTGTACTTGATGATGTGAAGTTTAACTCCCACCAACCGTGTATGGGATGATAGGATTAATTTTATTTTAATTTTTTTGGCAGCACCAAGGTTTGAACTCAGGGCCTCTCCTACTGCTGAGCCACTCTACCAGCCATATTTTGTGTTGTTTTTCCTCTTTTGAGGCGGGGAAGTACTGGGATTTGTACTCAGGACCTTATTCTTGCTAGGCAGGCACTCTACCACTTGAGCCACTCCACTAGCCCTATTTTGTGTTGGGTCTTTTCCAGGTAGGGAAACTATTTGCCCAGACTAACCTCAAACCACAATCCTCCTGATCTCTGCCTCCTGAGTTGCTAGGGTGTTAGTCACTGGCACCTGGTCTAGCTGTCAGTTTTCATAGATGCCTTCTATTAGGTTAAAGGAAGTTCTCCGCTTCTGCTCCTACTTTGCTGAGAGGGTTGTTTTTAGTAAATGGACATTGGATTGTGTCAAATTATTTTTCTGCATATGTATATTAAGGTGATCATATTGTTTTCTCCTTCATTCTATTAATATAGTGAATTGGATTAATTTCCTCTTGAATATGAAACCAACCTTGCACTCCTGGGATAAATCCCACTTAGTTTATATTTTAAACCAGAGGTTCTTAATCCAGGGTTCAGTATAGAGTACTTCACAGATGGTTTTCATGGGTTTGTGAACTCCCTGAAGTTGTATGCAAAATTCTGTGTAAATCTGGGGCTCAGGATGTAGTTCAGTGCTAGAACACTTGCTTATCAAAAACAAGGCCCTGGGTTCAATCCCCAGCACCACCCACAAAAATAAATTCTGGGATCCGAGCATTGATGGTTCATGCCTATAATCCTAGCTACTTAGGAGGCTGAGATAAGGAGGATCGAGTTTCCAGGATAGCCCGAGTTTCCAGGATAGCCCAGGTGAATAGTTCATGAGACTGTCTCCAAAATAACCAGAGAAAAATGGACTGGAGTGTGGCTCAAGTGGTAGAGTGTCTGCATTGGAAGCGCAAAGACCTGATTTCAAACCTCAGTTCCACCAAAA